ACTGGAAAAAAATTTGTTTTATTCAGATGTGCTCCACAAATTATATGAATCGATTTCGTTTTGTTAACGCGCAAAAATAACTTATTAAAATAAATCTGCTACGTTTCAGAGCTAAATAAACGAAACAAAACTCAATCGTTAACGTTGAAACGAAATAAATTATCATTCGTTAACATTGAAACAAAATAAATCAACGGAAATGGTTTTTGTATGCCTTTCCCAGCTCACAGTTAACACCAAACGCCTAAATGCGTGCTACAGCTTCAGTGTTAACAATTAAATTTATTTTCGTTAAAAATTTCCGATAAAAAACTGAATCGTTGCAACTGAAACGATTCCTTTTTTTTGTTAAACGCTAAAATTAACGTTACAATGCGTCCTTGGTTTTATTTATTGTATGGAGAAAAAAAAACAATTTTCATCATTTTACAGCACACGTATGATACATTGTAGAGTGCATTACTGTCGGCATTTTCATCATAGACACATTTTGAAAAAGTCTGCGATCCAAAAAATACAGACACTTAAAGAACTTTTTAGCTGCAAAAACTAAAGGCAGTACGTAGAGGTTTGATAATCGAGTTAAGTACAGTTAAAAATACAAGAAACTATCAGGCATGTTCTGCAAATCGTACGGTTTGAAATCGGTAGATTTACAAAATCTATTCGGAGGATTTATAACAGAAGGAAAAATTTGGCACTAAATCGATGGATATAACGAAAATGATGTGTTTCTAGCAGTTTCCATTTGAAACATTTAATACTTTGATTACAAATATACAACAATACTTTGCAAATCGCACCGATCAAACTTTTAAACTTTATACAAATGTGAAAAATTTTCACTAAAATTTTGAGCTTTTTAATCTGAATTTTTGAGCTTTTTAATCTGAATTTTTGAGCTTTTTAATCTGAATTTTTGAAGTGAAACTTCTTTAGCGGCGGTTGGTTGGTTGGGAGTAAATTGGCAAATTCAACGGAAATTGCACTCTGATAAACAACAAATTTTCAGGTTAAAGTGTCACCGTTTTTGAAATATTTAATTTTTTTTTAATTAAAAAAAAATCGTGCCTTTTCATGTATTTTCTTTAACTGCATNTTTCACGTATTTTCTTTAACTGCATCTACAAACCAGGCTATACTTAGTAAATTTTTTATGTAAAATACTTTCAGATAGTTGCTTCTCCATACTCAAAAGCATTGTAGTTAAAATATATTAAGGAACCATCATAAAATTATGACTATTTTGGGATTTTTAACTTTTTGATATTTTCTTCCCCAACTTTGACTATCTCTGGTGAAAAAAAAATGCACTGAGTTATAACTGTACATTACATAAAAAAATTGCTCATTTAATAAAGATTGCAGAAAGGTGCCACTCTTACTGTTTCGAATAGAAAAAAAAAGTTATAGCCGCTTTTGTGGGCAAAGCACTGAGACACGCTAGAATGTATTTAATAGATTTAAATTTAAGTTGCTCTTGTTACCGACCAATGATATGCTAAATAGTACAAAGGTACATTATTACCTTCTCCTGACATTATTTTATGTTACCTACCGGAATTAGTGAAAGTGGATTTTGTGAAATTGGACCCTTCGAACATTGTGTTATTAATACTATGACAGAGAACACGCAGTATACGTCGCATGAATATGCGGATATTCACCTAATTTACGGCGAAGCTTGCTGTAATGCCAGAGCTGCTCAAAGACTTTATGCAGAGCGATACCCCAATCGTCGGCATCCGGGTCGTGAAGTAGTCACCCGGACCCATAGAGAAATATATGAAGGTAAGTGATTTTTACACC